GGGGGGGGGGGGGGGGGTGTCTCTGCACAGCTGGCTAGTAGGCAGCCTCCTCCAGGGCCCAGGACCTGGCCTGTGGCCACCCATTAAAGGGGCATAAAATAAACTTAGTAGGAAACTTACAAACACCCCAACACATCTGATTGCATCCTGGTTACCATTAAACCCAACTATTATTCTGTGAAACCCATTTACCAAGGAATGTCACTGAGTCACAACATACTGTTGTTGCGTGGGTCTCCATCTGAAACCCACAATGCCGTCATCTGAAAATGTTTATTTGTCCTTCAAAAGTTAAGCCCACGACACACTGCCTTAAGAATTCCAGAGAAATGTTTTTCTAGGCGGAGTCTCTGCTTCCCGCAAGAGCACACTCAGTACTTTAATTACCTCCCATCCACGTCACCGCAGTCCCGCCAATACATGAGCAACAAATATCGACCCCACGCTGCGGCTTCCCAATGTTCTTAGTTATACCCCAATTTCACTAATTTTCTGGGATAGACTCATTTTCTCTCGAATTATCTGGCTATTTTTGAAGATGAAGTCCACAGAGCTCTGGAATGATTCTCCCCTGGGAGAAACACGTTACAGGCATTAACATTAGCAACAGAGGCTGCGCGGATCCGGCCGGCACAACTGGGAGGTCACCTGTAAAACCAGAGAATCATTTGACACAACATCCAACAGACTGACTCAAACTGAATCCACCAGCCACAGAGGTGCTCGCTCAAACCCAGGACGCCTGTGCGTGAAGGCACGATGGGTGCCATCAGGCAGTTCCATGCGGCCGGTGAGGCCCCAGATGATGGGCAGCTTGTTTTCAGGAAACCGTGTTGGGGGGGGAGGGGGCAGCAGTGTTTGGGAGGTGGCCAGTCAAGACCAGCCACAAAGCACCGGGGACATTTGCATCACCTGCTCCAGATGTAAAACTTGTGTAGATTTCCCCACTTAGTAACATGCCCTTTCAGTTTGTTGGGCTGTAAGCTGCTGGGACCAGTTTTCAGGTCCACCAAACCTCACCCCGAATATAGCTTCCATGGTGACCGAACATACATGTGGCCTTGAATATAAAGAGCCCAAACACACCCCACTTTTAAGCGGTGCCACTCCAAGCTGGCACTAAGCCACGTCCACAGCCACTGATCCCTTCCTGCCCACATGCCAGCCATGCCTTTCCGGCGCGATCTGAGCCAACCTTAGGAGACCTGGTGCTAAGCACCTGGGACACGTGATAGAAGTTAGGGCAGGACCCGGGGCAAAGGCGAGAGGCCAGCGGCCCCAGGACCCCCCCTGCACAGCTGCAGACACTGACTCCCTCCGTCTTCTCTAAAGATGTGACAAGCACTCCCGTTCCCCAGCAAGAGTCTAAGCCAAATCCTGGCCACTGCCCAGTTCTGCCATCTCTCACACAGCCCGTCCCTCAGAGACATTAATCCAGGGGCCTAACGCGTGACGGCAGGCAGCCATTGGCCTTCAAGCTGCAGAGCGGAGGCGCTGGTCTGGGGCCTGCGGGATACGTATCCAGTTTCCTTTGGCGTCCATTCAATGTGATCCCTTATAAAACCTGCACTTGCAAGAGCCCAGGGCCCAGCCACCCGTCAGCCTCAGAACCGACTGTTCTCCCTCAGTGAGAGTTCAGACAGGGATAACGAGCCATCATAGGCTGGGGGCTTCTTGGGGACAAAGTCAGGTAAGACGGAAACAGGAAACTTACAACGGGAGGAACCGTTTCACTTGCTTCGGGCAAAGCAGTTCAGTTCTGTGCCTCCCACTGCAGGCATCTAACAAAGAAAACAACCTGTGTTAGTCTCCTCGCCACTTAGCAGAACCCCAAATCCTGGGCAGGGAAGCAAAACGACCACCCCACCAGGCCTGTGCGGAAAGTCGTTTCGTCCGTTCTAAAACCCCACTCCAGGCCCAGGGCTACTTACTGCCGCGTAGAGGTTTCTCCTGGAGGGTCCGTCGCGGGTCCGAAACCAAGGCCGAACCGCCCCTGGCGAGGAGAAATTGCAAAGAAAAACCGACTCAAGAAACTCACTTCCAACCAGGCCTAATTATCGAAAGAAACTTGGGAAACGGAGTCTCAGACATCCAAATTCCACACTGAAGGCCTCTTTGCCTTCAGACAGGGATAACTTTACATCATCACGGACTCGGCTCCCACCAATTTGCCAGCCTACAGCACATGCAACTATTTTTCTCCCCAAACTCTGCTTTACTCCCCTTGTGAGAACGCTCATTCAACCAAATCTACTGGATTAGAAGGTACTTTCCCTCAAGGGCAAAACCTGACCATATCTAGTGCTAGATGTACCTAGTGTCCAGACCTGACACATCGACAGTTCATGCCCTTTTATTTTTTGATAATCCTCCCCTGAGAACATTCTTCCATTGATTTTTTTTGGGGGGGGTGGGGAGAGGAGAGAAAAATATCGAGGTGAGAAAGACAGGTTGCCTCCTTGCATGCATCCCAATCAGGGCCGGAGATGGAGCCTTCAACAAAGGTATGTGCCCTTGACCAGGAATCGAACCCGAGACCATTTGGTCTGAGAGCCAACACTCTATCCAATGAGCCAGACTGGCCAGGGCAGTTCCTGCCCTTTGAAAGGCAGGGTCTCCCTCAGCACCACGTGTCTTCCAGATGAGCCCGGGGGGTATATAGTCTAGTGCAGGGGTCCTCAAACTGTTTAAACAGGGGGCCAGTTCACTGTCCCTCAGACCGTTGGAGGGCCGGACTATAGTTTAAAAAAAAACTATGAACAAATTCCTATGCACACTGCACATAGCTTATTTTGAAGTAAAAAAACAAACGGGAACAAATACAATATCTGTATTTGCATGTGGCCTGCGGGCCGTAGTTTGAAGACTCCTGGTCTAGTGTCTTTCCTGTGTCAGTTAAGTGCAGATTACTCCTTTAGGCAGCACAAACGGTGCCTGAGGCCAAGAAGCCGTTTCTTTCTCACTCCTCTCTGTGCAGAGCAAGCATGTGGCTTTCTGTTTCTTAAGACAGAGGATTATGGATCTGCCCCAGAGCTGGTTAAACATAGCCAGTCCCATAATTTGCTGTAACAAAAATCCGGGCTAAAAGTAGATCCGATCATCTAGCCCTCCGTGCCTGCTCCCACACTGCCACTCGTGATTCCTGGGCCCACTCATCCAGGGCCGGAGGTGGGGTCCGGGAATGTGTATATTGTAACACTTCGTAGGTGGTTCTGTCATACAGACAGGTCTGGGAAGCACTGACCCTGCTTTGCAAATGAATGAATAAGGCTGTGTGGTTATGTGGTACCGGCAGAGGCTAGAGCTCGAATCACTCAAGCTGGCCTGATGCAGAGTTACAATCTCAGCTCTACTGACATTCTGGGGGGACGGTTCTTTTGTGCGGGCGCTGACTTGTGCTTTGCAGAACACTGAGCAGCCCGCACCGGATCCCAGCCACACCGCCTGCCCCCAGCTGAGAACCACTGGTCTAACCTAATTCTCCCAACAGTTGTAACAAATACTGTGTGTGAGACTGCTTGGCGAGGAGCCTAGCAAAGAGTTCCTTACTTACTTCCCTTAGCTGGGCAGCGACAACCCGGAAAGACCCACACATCTCCCAGATCTAGCGACCAAACCTTAAGAGGTCGTGACCTATACACGTCAGTGAAAGAGCTAAAAACCTTACCGTTTACAGAAATCTCCATCACGAAGATCCTTACACTCAGCACCTGAATATGATGGTTCTCACGTGACTCTTCTCAAATCCCACAGCCAACACCTTTAGCCGGAAGGAGAAACAGGGTAACATAGGTCTCACTCTACTAGAAACAACGGTCAGGCATTTATTCTCAAGACTGGCGTTTACACAGCTGAGCCTCAGCAGGTCAGAACTCTTCACAGAGGAAGCCCTTTCCGACAGGGATAACTTTAAATCATCCTCAGCTCGAGCTGTAACCCACACTTCTAAACCCCAGCCAGCCGACTCCCCTTTCCAAGGCTCCCTTCACCCCGCCCCGCCATGCAATGGTTTCCACTAAGTTTCACACAGCGACACCTAGCGGCCCCCACATCACACTGGCATAGACCCCTCACTTCCGGCTAGACGTATGCCAGCATTTGTGCACAGAATGGACCTTACTCTGAAGTTCAACTTCCGAGTCAAGTGCGAGGCTGAGTATTAGACGGCTGTATGTGACGGGCCTCCCCACCATCTCGGCTTTCTCATTCCTGGTGCCCTCCCAGATCCTGCCTGCACCCCGCCATTCTTACTCATTTCGGGGCTCCATTCATTATTTTTAAGCTTCAACCTGCAGGTCCCCTTCTGTCTCCGCAGATGCTACAGGCAGGCCTGCGGAGAAGGAAAAAATGACCGTGTAAGGTTCTTTGTAGAAACGCGGCTTTCCAAAGTCTCCAGTCCCGTCGATGGCTAAATGCAGAATTCTCTAGAAACTGTTTGGGGCGGCTCTCCAGGCACTCGAGCGGAAGTCAGGCGTCCAGACGTGAACACTCGCGACCTGAATTAACACCTGTCACTGCCGGCGCCTCGGGCGGACCCGGGACCCCACAGGGGGCTGCGCGGAGGGGCCCTCCCCGCAAAGGCGGGCTTGAGCTCTCTCCCTTCAACCGTAAAACCTCGCGCCGTTTGGAAAGCGTTTTCTCATCCAACATCTTTTTAAAAAATTTTTAATAAATATATTTTTTTGATTTTTTTTTTTACAGAGAGGAAAGGAGAGGGATAGAGAGATAGAAGCATCGATGAGAAACATGGACCAGCTGCCTCCTGTACTCCCCCCCTTTCACTGGGAATGTGCCCACAACCAAGGTACATGCCTTTGACCGGAATCGAACCCGGGACCGGGACCCTTCAGTCCGCAGGCCGCCGCTCTAGCCACTGGGCCAAACCGGTCAGGGCTCTCATCCAACATTTTAGCTAATCCTCCCAACCAGCCTGTCAGGAGGATGAGAGGTTTGGCGTCACCATTTCGCCCCTGAAAAAGGGAGGCCACGTGTGCTCCCGCCCAAAGAAGCCCCGTGTCCCCGCTTCCGCAGCCTTACCTTTGCCAAAGGTCTGAGGCCCGAGGCTGCTCGCCGACCCGGGCCCGGAGAGAAGGAGCCATGACTTCCAGCCACGCGGCCAGCCTCGGGGGAGAGGGCGGAGCCGCGCCTGCGCGCAAGTCTTCTCGGCGGTCTCGCTGGGACTCTCGCGACGTTGAGAAAGGGCTGATGGGAAACGTAGTCCAAAACAACAGCCGCTGCGGGTGGCCGCATTTTCGGCGCGACCCTGGAGCCGGGGGTAAGACGGTGGCCACCACCAGAGGCAGTAGAGGGCCCGGGGTGGGAGGCCTGATCTGTGAAGTTCCCGCCGTTTGAAAAGGAAGATGGACGGTCGCTTTGGGTACCGAGGCTGGGAGGGCTGGGGGTGGTGGTGGACGCAGAAAGTTCGAGGGGCCCCACGAGAGGGACCCGTGAGGAAACGGAGGCACGGCTGGATCTTTTATCTAAATCGCCCCGTGGATTTCAGTCGGGGCGGGGAGGGGTCACCGGGCGTGGTTGGTTGCTTTAGTGAAGGGGCGGGAAGGATCGCGGAGAACTGTTCCCCGCCCCGCTCAGCTGCTTTTCACGTTGGGGCGAGCGCGGCGACGCCCGGGCGGCAGGGGGCGCCCGAGAGCCAGGGGCCAGGCTGCTCTGAATCCCACCCCCCACCCCCCCCCACGCCGGTGCCTTGGGTCCCGCTGCCAGTATTGAGAAGGAAAAATAATTACATTTTGAAAAAGAACAGAGAATAATGTAACACCCGCTGGTACTTCTGAATGTTATTTTTCAGGCAGCTGCTCTGGCCTCATTTTTGAAACAACAATAGGGCAAAACAACTAGAGCCAGGGCCAGCGTCCATGCGGACCTGGAAATCAGGTTAAATGTGCAAGACCAGGGAGCCCTTTCTCCTTGCTCTCCCCACATCCTCCCAGCTCTTCAGCTGTGCCCTCGGCGGTATTTCGTCTGGATTATTCTCTGCACCATAATGCAGGATAAGTCGTCTGTCTGGTCATAGGTCGCAGGTGCTTGTTTTCAAGTTTTCGCATCTGTTTACGTTTGACTCCCTCGATTTGATTACGAGCCCTTGGAGGCAGGAGAAGTCTTTTTGAATGATCATTTCTTTCTTTTTTAATTTCCTCACCGTGCCTACTTGATATTCCGCTGTCTTTGCTCCCAGTATGTACTGAACAAATAATCATTAACTCAACAATAACTTCTATCTTGTGAAATTGGTTGTTAACGTTTCTCTGTCTTACCCTTGAAGACATTGCTTTGTATCATACTGGGAGGAAGAATGGGCCCTCTCTCCCTGCAAACTAAGCCCCTGTCATTTCAGACTTAAAGAGGAAACTCGGCCAGGCCCGTGTGTCTCAGTGGTTGGGCCTCATGATGAACCAAGAGATCACAGTTCCATTCCCAGTCAAGGCACATGCCTGGGTTGCCAATCAATCCCCAGTAGGGGGCAGCAGATCAGTGATTCTCATCACTGATGTTTCTACCTCCCGCTCCCTTCCTCTCTGAAATCAATACAAATATATTTTAAAAGAAGAAGAAATGCATCCGAATGCAAGCAAGGGCTCAGAGCTGTTGAGACCAGGTGTTCGTGTTGCTGTGATTTCATTGCACTCGGTTGCTGGTGGGGTCCGGACATGGGAGTCTTACATCTGGTGGAATTGCTACCCAGCTATTACTCTACTTAGTAAAGGCCTGTATTTATTGACATGGAAAGAGCCGCAGAGCTTAGTGACAGGGCAGGAGTCCTCTCTGAGTGCAGAGGAGAAACCCAGTCAGGGTGCCCGCTGTGGTCACGTGCACAGCTCACCGAGTTCCCATCACTGGCCGGGTCTAAGACATGGTGTCCGAAACCCCCAGGAATAGACAGCGGTCTTTGGCATATGTTCGCTTCTTAACCTGGAGCGGGGTCTTTAATTCTATTATTAAGAATGTGAAGGAGGGGAGGTACATCCTGAGCCGCTGGCTGCTCACATCGGGGACGTGGCACGGCAGGCACTGCTAGTTGACAGTCCGACAGCTGTTCCTCCATCTCACAAGCGGAGCAGACTCCAGGATTGTGCTGGGGACGCACCTAGCACGGGCCTGGCACGTGGGAATCGGGCAAGAAACAGAACTCCTGTTATTTGAATGCGCTTCTTTTTTAATATAGTTTTATTGATCTCAGAGAGGAAGGGCGAGGGAGAGAAAGATAGAAACATCGGTGATGAGACAGAAGCATTGATCGGCTGCCTCCTGCAGGCTCCCTACTGGGGATCGAGCCCGCAATCCGGGCATATGCCCTTGACCGGAATCAAACCCGGAACCCTTCAGTCTACCGGCCGACGCTCTATCCACTGAGCCACACCGGCTAGGGCTGAACATACTTCTTTCAATATTCACTCTTTTGTGATTATTTGTTTCCCAGTCTGACGTTCCCACTAGACCATGAGCAAGACAAGGATCAGGTCTTCATTCTTGTGTTGCTTCTTTTTAACTCTTTAAGTCACCTTTATTACATACCGTTGCATCCATGTAAACTGTACAGTTCAATAATCCAATACACGTCTACACCCACGCAACCACGACCCCCATCACAATTTAGGACATGTCGTCCCTCCAAAGAGCACCTTCCTACCATTTTTGCAGCCAGTCTCTGTATCCAGGCAACCACTGATCTGCTTTCTGTCACTATGGATTAGTTTGGCCTGTTCTAGAATTTGCTACAAATGGATTCATACAGTGGGTATTCTTTTATGTCTGGCTTCTCTCAATTATCCACGTTGTGGCTTACGTCAGGAGTTCATTTCCTTTCTGTTGCTGACTATTACTCCATTATGTGAACACACCACAGTCTTTATCTGCCCACTTGTTGATGCGGATCTGGGTTGCCTCCAGCGTGGGGCTGTTATTAAGAAAGCTGCTGTGAACAGTTCTGCATAAATCCTTGTGTGAACATGAACTTTCATTCCTCGTGGATAACTTCACAGGAAACTGCTAAGCTGGTTTGCTTCCCAAGCAGATGTAACCGTTGTCCCCCACCCTCGCCAACACCTATTATGGCCAGTCTTTAATTTTAACCATTTTGGTGGTTAAAATTAGTAGTATCTCGAAATTTTGATTTGCATTTCTCTGATGACTTATCATGTCAAACATCTCTCTGTGTTGATGGGCCATATGTATACTTTTTGTGTGACATGCCTATTAAAACCCTCCCCCTTTTGATGGGCTGTCTTATTTATATTAAATTGTAAAGTTTCTCTCTATATGTTGGATACAGGTCCTTCCTCGGCTATTTGCTTGGCGGATATTTTCTCCCAGTCTTTCCAAGAATTTTGACCGGGTCCAGTGAATCCGTTTTTCCTGTTAGTGCTTCCTGTCGTCTGTGGAGGGGCCTTCCCTTTGTCTGTTGAGTTGCCTTCGTGGCATCTGCGTTGGGACCCACTGATCTGTGTGCACGTCCTTGGGAACGCCACGCTGTCCGAGTTCTGAGCTCGTCTCCGCCCCTTGGCGAGGCCCGTGGCTGCGTGGCTGTCCGGGGCAGGCGCCGAGGCGTCCTGGGGTCCCCGTCCTGGCTGCTCCCTGTGGTCGACAGCGTGTTTCTTACATTCCGCCCAGTATTCTGCTGGTCTGTGCCAGGACGTCTGAATTCATCGTGTACCCACAGGAGCTGGCACACGGGCACTCCGGAACGCTCGTCGAGTAGGCGAGTCTGTCAGCGCCTCCGGAGGCGGCCCACGGTGTCTCTGTGGATTGGGAGGCTCTGTGGGCCCCAGAGGGCCACCCTCCCTTCATCTCACTGGACAGGGGTTTCCCCGAGGAGGGGCCTTAGTCCTGACGTCCCCAGCACGGCCCACCCGGGTCCACACATGCTCCTGAGATGGGGACATTGCGGTCCAGAGCAGGCAGGGTCACCTGACCAGCCAGCTGCAGAGCGGGCAGCACTGGGCCTCCTCTGTGGGGACCTTGCCCCTGTACTAACTGGAGGGCAGGCACTGCCGCCTGCATCACCGGGTCACTCCCAGCGCCCAGCACACGCCCACAATGCCCACCGGAGGCTCCTGATACGCTGGCTAAGTAAATGCCCAGTGGAATAGAGATCTTTGTTTTTAATGCTTAGGTCAGCTGGCTCCTGCCTGTGGCAGTAAGTGTGTGTGTGTGTGTGTGTGTGTGTGTGTGCGTGTGTGTGCGTGTGCATGTGCATGTGTGCACATAGAGACGGGACTGACCATTCCTACCCAGGCTCATGGGTGCTAGTCCCTCAGCAAATCTTCTTAAAATGCTCTCAGCCGCCCTCTCGCTGTGTCCCCACCAGGGGGCGTGTGTGTCCCACTGAGAGGGTCGCAGTCACTGGGCACAGGGACTTGTCTCCAACTCAGGTTTGCGGGTCCCTCTCGAAGCTGCCTCCTCGGTCCCCACGCTCTGCCCTCCCCCTGCAGAGTCCAGAACAAACCCTTTCTCCTCAAGCCCCTCCCCCTCCTGAGGGGGGCAGCAGAGTGGCCGAGGGGTGACCTCACCTCACTGTCATCCCTGAGGACAGAGCCGGGAGAAGCAGCTCCCCCGCCCCCTCACTGGCAGGCGAGGGCTAGTCCTTCATGGCCGTGGCCGAGCCTGGTCTGCCCTTGAACGACAAGCTCCTGGGGAGAGCGCCATGGGAAGAGCCCTGGCCAGCGCCGCCCAGCCCACCTGCAAAGGCGTCACCCGGGCGGGGCCCCAGCTCATCGCCGTGCCCGGCTCTACACTCGGGTCCTTGTGTCCCCACAGCTGCACAAGCTTTGGCATCAGGGTGCCCGGTGCGGGTCCTGGCTTCACCCGGGCTGTGCGTGCCCTGGAGCGGACTCTGTGAGCTGCCCTTTCCCTGTCGGGTCAGTGGGAAGACAGCGGCTCCTGCTCATAAACAAGACGAGGCTCAGAGAGCGCCCTCGGCAGTGCCCAGCACGTCAGAGTGTGAGACACGTCAGCCGTTATTGATAATGTTAGTGGCACCGTTATCATTACGTTAATGTGAACCACAGTGTAAGCGGCTCGGCCATTCTCCTTTCGAGGCCCCCAACAAAGTATGCCTTTCCTCCAGCTGACGGTCTCCGGCTTCTGCCTGAGGCCCCTGCAGAGGGGCCCTGGGAGCCTGCGGGCCAGCGGGTACCCTGCCCTCATGCCATCGAGCGGCCGCAGGTAGGCCGTGCCCACCTCATCTTGGGCCAGCGCCTCTGCTGCATAGCCTCCTCCAGGACCATCCTGCCCACTTCCACACGGGCACACGTTTGGGATGGGCAGGTACTCCCCGAGGTGGCATCTGCAGCCTAGGGTGACAGGACAGCGGCACCCGCACTGCGCCCGCTGCCACCTCCTCAGCTCTCCGGTCGTGTTCCCGTCTCCAGGGGAGACCACAGCCGCCCAGAGTCCCAGCCACAGGAGCACCCCAGCAGCACCGCCCTGGGGTCGTGGCCTGGGCACCTCCCTCCGGGCACTGGCTCTGCTGCTACGAATGAATCTGAACCTCGGGCCGCCAGGAGCAGCCTTCCCTGCACTGGCTCCGCCAGCAGAGGTTAGCAACAGGGACCAGCCTCCACACGGAGGATGGCAAGCAACAGGGCAGCCACCTCCTGTCCTCCCCGGATTCACTGCTGGAAGCAGAGCCGGTTGCCGGGAGGTGTCCAGGCCACGGCCCCACTGGAGGTGGGTTCTGGGCTCAGCGGCTCCCGGTGCTCTCGTCCAGCCTTCCTGGCTGCTGGGCCTCCTAGGCCCCCACCCAGCAGCTGCTCCCTCCGCTGTCCTCTAATTTGTGTCAGAACTGCCCCCCAGCCCGTGTGTGTGTGTGTGTGTGTGTGTAAGTGTGTAAAGACGGGGCAGGAGGGGGGCCGGGCGGCACTGGCTGTGGGGAGCCCAGGATTGCTCAGTAACTGACAGCGCACAAACAGGCACACAGCTCACGTGGGGAACACGGTGCGAGCGCTTCACTCGTATGGAACCCGCACAGCCGCTCCTCCCGCTGGACCAGGAGTGACCGGCCCTCGCCTCGGCCGGCTCCCTGCTGCCCTCGACCCCTCCCTCCGGTGACTGTGTCTCCCAAGTCCTGGACTTTCCTGCTCCCTTTCCAAGCAGTGGCTCTTCCAGGAAGTGGGCGGGGAGGAGGACTCAGGCTGGGGACATGGCATCCGGAGGGGCCATGGGCTCCACACCCGCCCCTGGGACGCGAGACAGTGGGCCAAGACGGGCGTGGGGCCCGGCACCTTCTGCAGGGGAGTCCTAGGCCCAGGGCAGCCGCTTTCTGGGCAGATTGTGCAGACAGCCGCTGGGAGGGCCCAGGAATGAGAGGGAGCGTGGGCCGGTGTGGGGGGAGCGTAAACAACCTGCTCCCTCCCTCCCTCCCGGCCCACATGGCCTCCCCCACCCCCACTCAGCTGCCAGGGCCCCCACCATCCCCCAGCCCCTTCCTCCGTCCCTCCCTCCATCCTGAGCGGGTCCCTGGAGGAGCCACCATCTCCTGAGCCGCTCTGAACGCGCAAAGGGGTGTCACGGGCTGTGTGTCTGGGCTGGGAGCCAGCCCGGCACAGCTCGCCGACCTTGGCCTGCCAATTCCTCAGCCCAGTGGAAGGAGACAGGCAACTCCGAAATGGCAGAGAGCAGAGGCGAGATGGAGTGACAGGGACATGGCACGCGGATTAGAGAGAGGATGTGAAGACGATCAGGGAGCAGACAGTCTGGGCACAGTGCCCTCTGGCCCGCAGCCTGAGAGCCCTGTCACCAGGAAGGCCCTGCCTCCCGGGAGAAAGACAGGCTGACAGGCGCTGAGACAGGTGGCTCGAACCCACAGCCCCTGTCAAGTGGGCAGCCGGGCTCTGACGTGGTCCTGCACACAGCGCCTGCCCTGGAGTGACTCCTCCCCGGCCTCCACCTGCCCTACTTTGGAGGCTCCAACGGGCCCGCAGCCCCTCCCCCAGGGCTTCCGCGTGGTCCCCTCGGGCTCCCCTTCTCTTCCTCCCCTTCAGATGCGAGGTGCTGCTGTCAATGAACCCCTCCACCTCCCGCTTCCTGACGGGCAGGGGCAGGGGCAGGGCCAGGTCCCCGCGCTGGGTGGGCCCAGCTGCTGGATGGGGAGAGAGGCATGTGGGTGGGGGGGGAGGGGGCCGTGGAAGATGAACGGCTGCAGGAGCCGGTCGGGAGCAGCTGCCTGCAGGGTCTGCGCCTGGATCCCCGGGAGCAGAGGCGGAAATGTGCTTTTATCTCTGCTCGGGATCAGGCAGGCTTGTGAGGGGGAAATGGCAGAGCAGCTGGGGGCCCAGGCGGCTCCGTCACTGAGCCGTCAGCCGGCTGACAAAAACAAGTGTCATGCTCTCCCCTCCCCACACGCTACTGCCCACTTGGAACACGCACACGCATGTCCACACACTCAGAACACACAGGGCCGGGCTGGGGCTGCTTGTGGCTAGCTGCAGGCTCGCGTGTCACAAGCCAACTGGCTGTCTTACTGACCATTCCAGCAGCGCAGCCAGTGGCAGGGTGAGCTCTGGGGACCAGGAGAGGCGAACGCCACAGGGAGTGAGAGCCACCGCACAGCCTGGGCCACGGCTGAGGGTTACCATGGAGCTCCTGAGCCAGAGAGACTGCCGGGCTGGGACACCCGCCTCCCCCCAGCAGCTGTGAACTCTCAGCGCTTCCAGGGAGGCCCGTGCAGCCTCCATGGGAGCCCAGGGTCCCCCACTTACCAGCTGGTGGTGCTGGGCAAGTCCGTGAGCCTCTCTGTGTTCTCATTCCTAAAATGTGGGTGATACAGGGCCAGTCTCTGGGTTCTGGCAAGGACGAGTGGAGAAAGAATGGGAGACCCTAGTCTCCCACTCCCCCCGTTCCTGCCCCAGCCGGGGCTGCACAGTCCACCCCGTGGGCCCACCGAGTTCTCCCTCTGGGCCTGCCTCCGAGGTGAGGTGCCCAGGAGCTCAGAGGAAGGGAGTCCATCCTACAGCAATGAGCAGCTCTGGCCCTCCCGCCTGCCCCAACCAGGCCCGGCCTCTGGACCTGCACAGCCAGGGCCTGGGGAGCAGTGAGGATGGGGGTCCAGGGCTGAGAGGGAGGGGGCTACCTTTTCTCATGCTCTCCCTCCCCACCTGCAGCTGCTTCCCACCGCGCCATCCTCCTGGGGGAGGGGCACTCCAGGGCCTGAGCTGGCAGACACCCAACCAGCTTGCCACCTCTCCCACGCCAAGGCGGGGCAGCCCTCTCCCCTAGAGGCCCGCAGCATGGCACTGCTGCACCCCCAAGCCCGGAAAAGGCTGTCCAGATCCACGTGATGGCCTGGCCAGTGTGGGTCAGTGGTTGAGCATCAACCTATGAGCCAGGAGGTCACGGTTCGATTCCCAGTTCCGGCACATGCCCGGATTGTGAGCTCCATCCCCAATGGGGGGCGTGCAGGAGACAGCTGATCCATGATTCTCTTTCATCATTAATGTTTCTATCACTCTCCCTTTCTCTCTGAAATCAATAAAAAAATATTTAAAAAGAAGAAGAAATGATGCATGTGGTGTCTTCAAACTAACACTGCCACCGGCAGCCATGGAACATACAGGTTCATGGCAGAAGCTGACGAAAGGAGGGACCTGCCCCCTCGTACCCCCTGTCCATGACCACTGGGTTCCACAGAGCCAGGCCCTGCACATCCTTCCTCCTTGTGCCCAGCCCCGCCCCCCGCCCTCCCAGCCCCGCCCCCTGCCCTCCTCCTTCCAGGGGTCCCGGCCCCGCCTACCTGCTGGGCCAGCTGATCCCACTCCTGGGGCTGAGCTGCCCCTGCCGAGGTGAGGGCTTACTCCACAGGCTTCTCCCTAAACAGAGAACAGCATGGGAGTCGGGGTGCAGGGGTGACCTTCCCCCGTTTCCGGCCTTCCTCTTCCTCAGGCCCCAGGCCTAGTGAGTCACCCCACCATTTTTTTAAACTCTCATCTGTGTTGGGGAGAGAATACAGTGACGCCACCGGACAGCAGCTGCAGCGGCATCAGCCCACGGCGCTGATCAGACCTCCGGCAGCAGCTGGCGCCCCCATCCCTCCCCAGGCCCGGGCTCCAGAGCTCGCTG